AGAGCGTATTTGTACATGGGTAACCACAGGGAGGAAGTGGGACAACTGTTGTTTCATGGAGGAGATTGCAATCACAGAGATGAAACAAAGTGTATGATTTATTAAATATAAATCTGATGATCTTGTCTGTAAACCTTCATTCAATTAACAATAAATAACTGAAAAAAAAATTAGGAGGGAGCTGCTATATGTGATGGTAGAGCTGAGGTAAAAACAAAAGAGAAGATGCTAAAGAAAAAAGTAAGAGAAAGAAAGTTCTTAACAGATGCAAGCAGATAAGGAATAAACATTCTAGGGAAGGAAGAAAGAAACCTTCTCTTTCTTCTTTGTATACTGAAAGATGGATGTTTCAGTACACAAAGATATTTAGAGGTTGTTGTTATTGTTGTTAAATACCGTGGAGTCGCTTCCAAATCATATTGACCCTGCACAGGGTTTCCGAGGCTGTAAATCTTTACCGGAGCAGAAAGTGTGGGGTGGGGTGGGGTGGGGCGGGGAATGAGGGAAATGGCCAGTTGGTGGTTTAGATCATCTTTCTTGCTTACTAGTCTATCCATGACTTTTTTTACTTCTTGTTGTGACAGGGTTGAAACCCATAGCAACACTCTATAAGGTTTCTGAGGAGTGGCTGAAGAGCTTGAACTGCCAGCCTTGCAGTTCAAATAGATTTTGCAGTCCAGAGCATTAACCCAATAGCGCTGAATTTCTGCTGAGTTAGTGTTCTAGCAGCACATATCCTTTATCTTAATCAAAAGAGAGAATCACAGTCATTCATTCATTCAACAAAAGTTACTAACTTTCTATTATGTGCCAGAACTATGCTAGGCAGTGGGTATATTAGCATCAAGAAAGAAAACACCGCTTCTAACTCCAGGGATATCATAGACCAAATTTGTAATTTTTAGGTCTGTGAAGAACGAATAGTATAAAATCTATGATCTACAGACTGCCTCTACTCCACTATCATTCTAACTGTATAGTTTTAATGTAAATGTTAAAGGAACCCTGGTGGTTTTGTAGGATAAGCACTGGATTGCTAACCACAAGGTTTACAGGTCAAACCCACCACCTACTCCGAAGGTGAAAGAAGACTGTCTGTTCCTATAAAGACTTATAGCATTAGAAAGCCTATATAGGGCACTAAGAATTGATTTGGTGACAGCAGGTTTTTGTTTTTCTTTATGTGAATATTCCTCCTCCTTTTTAGTCTTAAGAACTCTCACTCATCCTTCAAAATGCACCTCTCCTTTGTTTCTGAAAACTTCAGGGACCTCTTGCTACATAGATAACCAACCACTCCCTCCTTTCTAGCATCATTTTTGTTTTTTAAAAAAATATAATTTATTAGATGGACTTACAAATGATTTAGCACCACTTCTTATATATGAGACTGACGGCACTTAACAACAACTACTTATACATGTATTATGTACATTGACATTTTCTTTCTTATTAGACTGTGAATTTCTTAGTGGTCAAGGACTTCTTCATATGCAGTCCCCTCCATCCTAAACTGTCAAATGATGATCCTGCAAAATTTGGCAAAATATCATCTCTATTACATTTTTGCTGATCTTACAAATATTTTCCTCCTATTCTGATCTTTTATAGCACTCCAAACCAATGATTCTCAAGTTCCAGTGTATATAGGAACCACTAGGGGATCTGGTTAAAATGCAGATTAAGGCAGTCTGCGTTACTAAACACCAGACAATGTCAATGCTGCTGGTGTGTGACCATGTAACAGGCAAAGAAGTACTTACTAATACAAAGTAAGGTCAAAGATTTGCCTTAAGGATTTCTATAATTTCCATGTTATGGCATCACTGCATCCTTGCTTTTATACATATGCATTTCATTACTGTTCTTCAATGTCATTTTACACAATTATTTGAATATTTAGTTCATATTTCATTATTATCAATTCAATTAATACTCTACATACGTACAGCTCATGTCCCTTTAACATGTATTACGGACCTTGCTTTTATACACATTATCTTAGGTTTTGCCATATTCTTGTAAATATACTGTTAATTTTATAGATAACAAAATTGACACTTATAGAAGATACGTAACTTGCCCATAGCTACTGTAAGAGTCAAATCTCTAACCAAAGTCTTTTGGCTCTAAATCCCAGTTATACTCTTAATTATATCTGTGTTGTTGTTGCCACAGGATCGATTCCAACTCACAGCAACCCTAAATGACAGAGTAAAACACTGTTTTCTAGACTGTAATCTTTACAGGAGCATCACTAGGTCTTTTTTCCTCATGAAGCTGGGTTTGAACTGCTAACTTTTGGGTTAGTAGTTGAGTACTTAAACACTGTGCTACCAGGGCTCCAAAACTTTGTAGTTTCAACTATCAATCAATGCTATATGAAACAAAACAAAGCAGAAATAATTTACTCATTCAACAAACATTTAATGTTTATGTTATGGGTTCCGTGATAAGTACTGTTGTTGTTAGGTGTCATCAAGTCAGTTCTAATTCATAGAGACCTTATATACAACAGGAACAAAACACTGTCCAGTTCTGCCTAGGTGCTAGGATATAGGATATAGAGAATATTACAGAAGTTTTTGTTTCTGAGGAATAGTTTTGCAAGGTTAATCAAGGAAAGAGCATTTGAGCTCAGTTTTAATGATCACTTGGAGCAAAGAGAACAAAGGTGTTCCAAGTATAAGGACTAGGATAAGCATAGATATGGAAACAAGATATCAGGGTACATTTCAAAGCAAAGATGTACACAAAAATCAAGCAAGGGAGAGAGACTTGGAAGAAAATCTACAATGAAAACATTTGTAAGCTGAAAACATTCATGGTTACAAAAACAGAGTAAAAAGAGAAAAATCAAGAATTTACATGACATGTTTGGGACCAGAAAAAAGAATTGGAGTTACAAAGTCAAATATTCATACTGGAGAACAAGGGGGGAACAAAAGTGTGGCGTCAGTTATTACTGAAACCCTAGCAACATGACTGAGTTATCATTGCTAACATGATCACCTTGCCAGATCTAATACTAAGAGCTTTACATTTGCATAGTATTTTAGCACTTTCTTGGACATTATTATCCCCAGTTTGTAAAGTGAGGTTGAAATACATAAGTAACCTGCCCAAGATCATATAGACAGTAACTGGTAATACCAGGATGCAAATCCAGAACTCTCAACATTTTATTTCAGATATACTATTAAATTTCTAAAAATGTAAGAAAGATGCATCACAGCTTAGTTTTAGAAATAATCTTAGGAGACAAAAGACTAGATCCTAATTTCAGGTCCATCATGTGTAAATTACTAAACTTCTCAAAGTTTCAGTTTCTTTATAAAAGATAAGAATAATAAATTCATCAGGATTCTTATAAAGCTCAAACAGGTCATATGCCTAAAATGCTCTAAATTTAAACTGTTCAAGGGGGTATGTACATGTTATAATATGTATACATGGATAAGTTTGAATAAACCTATGGATTTTACTTATTCTATGTTTTTTGGTTTAGTATTTGGAATCAATAAGTTAGCTAGTTGTATTATTCTGTCAGATTTCTTATGTGTATTTAAGAAAGGGGGAAGGGAGCATATGAAATAAAATACATTCACATGAATTTGAGCAAATCAAGTTCTGATATTCAATAATAGATCAGCCCATTTTTTTTTAAATCTCAAGAAATTAAGGTGATATTCCTCCCTAGGCATTATACTAATAGATGAAAATGAAAACAAACTGAAATATTTTGGGTTGCCATATTTCATTAGGCAGTCATATTAAGCTTAAAAAAAAAAACTCAGCTGTTTCCTTTGATAGTTAAAAATTATTTTAAATTTAAATTATGATTAAAATTACAGTGTCTTTAAAAAAATAACAATGCCCCTTAAAAAACAAAATATGAGAAAAAGAAAAGGAAAACAAGGTATACCAACTGACGTACTAGAAAGTCAAATTTCTGAGAGAAATTTAAACTTAAAGTTCTTTCTCTAAGATGAAATGTCACTAGCTAAGTGTAATTTACTTTTTCCTATCAGGAAGTGTTTACTGGAGGACAACTGGTGTACAATCTGGTAAAAGTAACATCTGAGATGAACAAACGCTGAAAGATTTAGATTACAAGAAGTGAAGTAAGGAAACGTGAAAAAAAAGAAAAACATATTTCGCTGGGCTGTGGGAAAATCTGTCTAGCAGAGTGAGGTTGCTACCTCGAAACAATGCAAGAAAAGCTGCACACACTACCGGGGCACCTAGTTGGATTAAGAGAAGTTTCAAATATATCTGGATCCACTGCTGTGTAATGAGATCAAACACTACAGAATGAGAGGAAACCTGGGACCTAGGCTAAGACAAACGAACTCCTCGAGGGAAGTTGTTATTTGCAGCGCCGACTCACCCCCTCGCCAAAACAAAAAACAAACAAACAAAAAAGCATCTTTTATCTTTTGATAAATAACAGAGAGCAACAGTTCCTCTTTTGTGTTTTCTTTCTCTGACACCTAGCCTAGTCAATCTCATCGTCTCTTTCCTGTACTGTAAGAGCCAGAAACGAAATTTCAGGATTCCGTGGGTCTACCTGAGCTGAAGAAGCCAACCAGAAAAGCCTGTCACCGGTGTGGGGAAAGCTCCCAACATCCCTAGCTCGGTCCCTTTCGAAGGCCCAGAGGGCGCGGAGGGCCTGAGTCCCCAGTACTTTTCCTGCCCTTCCCCAACGGCCGCTCCGCCTCATCACCAAGAGGACCCCACGTCGGGCCGGGCGCCCTCAGAATGACTGGCGCTCCTTGTCTCACCTTCCGCGTCTGCAGAGGAGACAAAGGTGAAGTCTCCGTTAGTAGGGGTATACGCCGGGGGAGGGCCTGGTGGCTGCATCTCTCAACCCCTCTTAGCCGGCCGCAGTGGAGGAGGCTGCGGCTGGGCCCAGGCCCCAAGGCGGCCGCGGCGCTGACCCGCTCGCCCGCCCTACGGTGCGGCCTACGAGCCAGGAGTTGTAAGATGGGAGCAAGACCGGAAACGAGCACTGCTGGCCACTGGAATGCTTCTCGAAACTACTCCACCGAAGTCTTATCGGTGGCGACCGCCCAAGCACCACGACGCCGGTGCCCTGACAGGACCATAACAGTGACAGCACCACTTGGATTGGCTCTTTGTAATATGGTCTCCCATTGGCTCCCGAGGAGAGGTTCTGATTGGTTCTTTCTGTTGTTGATTCCGGAAGTTTTCCCAGGACAGGAAGTTTACTTCTAATTCGTGGAATACTGAGGGCTTTCTCTTTCCTCTTGCTTCGTGGAACGCTTCGTGGAACGCTGAGGGCTTTTTCTTTCCTCTTGATTCGTGGAACGCTGAGACTTTCTCTTTCCTCTTGCTTGTATCTGTTCCTTCAAGTTCCAGTTTGCCCTGTGTTTCTGTACCTCTTAACTCCATTTTTATTCACGGGGTAGGTTAGAGACTTTTTATTAGATGCCAGCCCGGGTTTAGGACCATAAGATACTGTTGCAATTTTGTTAAGTGCCGTCCAGTCGGTTCCGAGTCATAGCGACCCAACCTAGGGCTTCTGAGAAACGGCTGGTGGATTTGAACTGCCAACCTTTTGTTTAACAGTCTAGTACTTATCCTGTATAGCAGTCCTATAGCGCTACCCCAGGAATGTCGTTTTAGTAATTGATAATTCTCGTATGGACTCTTAACTAAATTACAGATCATCTCAGTTCCTAGTTTCCTCAGCTGGAATATGAAGACATCTTGACTATATACTAAAAATAATAACAGATAACTGTAAAGTACTACCCATAGACTAGGACTTGTAGGCGATTCAAGTTTGAAAGGGGGACAACTTACCCAGAGATGTTAAGGTAGTAACTGAATTAGGACCGTACCTACACCTAATTTCTAGTTCAGTGCTCTTTTTACTAGAAAATTCTGTCTACAGAACTTGTCTTTGTTAAGTTTACAAACGCACTTTTAAAAAAAGAGTTTAAATTTAATTCAAGGTACATCAATATAATTTCCAGTTTGGAGAGAGATGGTTTGGACGTATACTGTGAAACTGTTGGCAGAGAGTGCTGAACCTACTACCTCACCCTTCAAGAGAGGTGATTCAAGAGAGGTGCCTTCTATTGATTAAGAGTAGTCAGGAGAGGCGAATTTCTATACATGGAAAAGTTTATTACAGGAAAGAGGCTTGCAAGTGGAGATAGGAGGGCTTGCTGCAATACTTAATCCTGTCTCTCTGAACAAAGACTTTGCTGGGGTTGAAATGTTTGGGGTAGGGAAACGCATCATGTTTATTCATAAAGATAATCAGGGATTTCCAGGAAATGGCCTCTTTAGGAGAGGCCATGCTACTTGGGTGTATGGGCAACATTTCTTCATGATGGAACCCACCACAAAGAGCTCTGATAGAAGTAGACAAAGCTTATTTTGGGATGTCAAGCATGTATGCTCAGGACACTGGATAAACTAGTCCAACTTGGAAATATCTCACAAGGACGTAAAAAAACTGAATTTTTATGAGTGATTTTCCTTAATGGCATGTCCCAAGATGTGGCTGCTCAACTAGAGTCCTGGCAAGCCCTGCACATCTTTACAATTGCCCAGGAAGGAGGGTCTTAGGCCTCAACATTCCTCAAGATGTTGGTTACAAGATTTTCATCAATATGCAACTTATGTTTAGTCCTGATTTCTGTATCCTCATTACCCCCTACCTCAAGATGACCTTGGAGAAACATACAGATCAGCAAGACAGCATGGTCATTAATGTGTAAAAGGGAATATCCAGAAAATTTCCTGACAGCAGATAACAACTGAGTCGGGACTTAAAGCACAAGTACAAACTTGCAGACAGAGAGTATAAAAGGACTGGCAGCCTGGGTGATAATATTCCAGGGATCATTTTGGTAAACTTGGTCAACTAGAAGTCATTTAATTTATTTGGAGCTCTGGTTTTGTTGGTGAGGATGGCTACAGGTGATTTTGCTCAGGTAGATTTTAAAAAGAGATGATAAAATAATTTGTATGATACTGATAATGTAGAATTTAACTAGAACCCTGTTGTAATTAGTTAGGTTTTGTGTTAACTTGGTTGGGCCAGGATTCTCAATAGTTGGATAGTTAAGATGTAGTCACCCCATGATGAGATATAAAAAACGTAATCATTTCTATGATGAGATCTGCTATGAGCAGCCAATCAATTTAAGGGAAGTTTCCTCAGGGATGTGGTCTGCTTCCAATATATTGTTGTTTTTCTATTGGGTCTGGATCCTGCATCTGGCTTAGAATCTGACCTCTGGTCCTTTTGGACTTGAACCATTCACCTGCTCTGTTGTCTGCCAAGCCTGGGAGTTGTCAGCAGCCTGCCGTCTTACCTGCCCAATATGCCTGCCTGCTGTCTGACCTGCTGATCTTGGTTCATCAGCCCTGCAACTGCATGAGTCAGAACCTCTAGCCTGACATCTGACCCATGGAGTTGGGACTTGCCCACCTCTACAACTGTGTGAATCATTTCCTCAGTACAAACCTCTCTTTATGTATGCATATATGTTTCACTGGTTTTGCTTCTCTAGAGAACCCAGCCCATGTCACCTGTAATACTAAAAAATAGTGAAATCCCCCACCCACCGTGATCAGGAAAATGTTGTTGTTGAGTGCTGTCCACTCAGTTCAAACTCATAGTGGCCCTGTATAGGGTTTTCAGTGAGCATCTGGTGGGTTTCAACCACCCAGCTTGCAGTTAGCAATTCAGTGCTTTTCCTACAGCATCACACCAGGACTCCTCAGGAAAATAGCATCCTACATATAACCACCCTTCCCATATGATTTAGATAAGACTCATAGATGCCCCCTTGTTCACTAATGACAAAGTCAGACTATATACAGACTCTCCTAATTCCCATTTCTTGCCAAATGAATGAGTAACTAAGTTACTTTTCTCCACTGATCAATCAGAAACAAAGTGCTAGTTAAGTAAACATTGGTTAAAACCATCTACTTCTCCCAAATCTGGCAATCTGAGACAACATATAAACCCTCTTTCTTAGTGTACACTCTGATTACTATCCAATAATGTCGCCCTTCCATTTCACTTCCCCACATCTGGGTTTGTTCTAGCCATGTTTAACTCTGTTTCTAGAAAAGAAAATGTACTTTCATTTTTATCAATTGACTAGTATCCTCCAAAATAATGTGTTTGAAATCCTAACCCCTACACCTGGGACTGTAATCACGTTTGGAAATAGTTTTCTTTGTTATGTTAATTGACCACCTCATTGTTGGGTGTGTTTTAAACCAATCACTTTTGAGGTACAAGAGAGATATTAGTAGGCACAGAAGAAAGGAAACACACATCTGGGGGAAGATAGATGCCACAACACATGAAGATCAACACTGGAAGGTGAAGAGAGACAAAGGCATTCCACCAGAGCCAAGAGAGAGAACATTTTCCACTACAGCTGGTGTTCTGAAAGATGTTTGCCTGTGCTTTATTGATTCCACAAAGACTTTTGATTATGTGGATCATGAAAAGCTATGGACAATATTGTATAGAATGACTATTCAGGAACATTTAATTGTGCTCATGAAAAACCTGACATAAATCAACAGGCAGTTATTCAAACAGAACTAGGAAACACTGAATGGTTTAAAATTAGGAAAGGTGTGTGCCAGGGTTGTATTCTTTCACCATACTTATTCCATCTGTATGCTGAGCAAATAATCCAAGAAGCTGGATTATATGAAGAAGAACATGGTATCAGGATTGGAGGAAGACTCATTAACAACCTATAATATGTATATGATACAACCTTGCTTACTGAAAGCAAAGAGGACTTAAACTACTTATGAAGATAAAAGGCCACAGCCTTTGGTTTGGGTTGCACCTCAGTGTAAAGAAAACAAAAATCCTCACCACTGGACAAATTAACATCAAGATCAGTGGAGAAAAGATTGAAGTTGTCAAATAGTTCATTTTGCTCAGATCAACCATCAACACTCATTGAAGCAGCAGTCAAGAAATCAAATGAAGCATTGCATTAGGCAAATCTGCTGCACAAGATTCTTTATAGTGTCCAAGAGCAAAGATGTCAGTTTGAGGACTAAGATACGCCTGACTCAAACCTTTATATTTTCAGTAGTCTCATATGCATGTTGGACAATGAATAAAGAATACCATAGAACAATTGATGCATCTAAATTATGATATTGGAGAAGAATATTAAAAGTATCATGAACCTCCGAAAGAACAAATAAATATGTGTTGGAAAAAGCACAGCCAGAATGTTCCTTAGAAACCAGGATGGCCAGACTCTGTCTCTCATACTTCAAACATATTACTAGGTAGGACTAATCCTTGGAAAAGGAAGTGGTGGGTTAGCAAAAAAGTTGAAGACCCCCAGTGACATGGATTGGCACAGTGGCAGCAGTAATGGGCTCAAGTGTAGCAATGATTGTGAGGTTGGTGGCAAACCCAGCAGTGCTTCCTTTGGTTATGCATAAGGTCCCTATGAGTGGGTACTGACTCATAGTGATACTTGACAACAACATAACTGCACTTAACAACAACAACAGTCTCCCAAACTGGAGAAAATAATTTTGTTTGGTAAAGTCAATCACTTGTAGAGTTTCCCTTACAGCAGCATTAAGAAATTAAGACATTCCCTAATTCTTTGAGATGCATGCAGATCTATGGACAGAGTGTTCTCCTTATTGTAGTAGCCCTTTCTCCTTTTTCTTTCTGAAGAAAAAGTCTCCCTGTTAAAGTCTGAATTTGTTTTTTTATTTGACACTATTCTAAGGAATTTTAATTTTGTTCTAGGAATAATAGGGAAGCATTGAATGTATTAGAGCATGGATTAATATAATCCGATATCCTGGTTAGA